TAAATTGTATAAATTGTGTTATTTTTAAATATTGAGGATGTAAGTATATTTTTAACAAAATCTTTGGCAAGTGCCAAAATGTATGACATATTTTTCATTTTGGTCCTCTTTATTCTAATTTCACCTTTATCAAAAAAATCAAAAGTAATTGGCATTTAATCAAGACCTAATTACCTAAAATAAGATTTTGAGAACCAAAATAAATTATTAAAAATAAACAATAGGTACACAATATTTTATGAGTGAATAATACTTCTCATCTACAGTAAAATAAACCCACACTTTCTAGATTTACTTATAATTATATATATAGTATCATAATGTAGTATCATGATGATGATTATATCAATTGAAAAAGCTTCGCCACTTTAGTTTTTTTGTTTTTTCCTTTTAATGTATCTGGTTAATTTGTTCATAATCAATCCATGCAGTATAATGATTATTCTCTAGCCTTAGTAAAGAGTAAGATTTCCAGGAAAAAAAAAAAAACATAAAGTGGCGTTCTTATAACATTAGAGATTTAACTTCTTAGATAAGTGGATTTGTTTTAGATTTATTGTTCAGAGTTTCAATCTTAAATCATTTCAGTTAATTTTAAGTTTTGAGAGAAATGAATGGAAAGAAGAGTAATATCATATAAAAAATAAATAAATTAAACCACTTTTCTTTGTTTGACGCAAGTAATGTCAATTAAACACTCTTTGTTACTGTATAGCTGAAAATCATACAAGTGCGATAACATTTCCCACTAAAAATGTCGATATTGACAACTCAACTTTTGTTTTCTTACACAAATTGACCAAAACAAAGAAACAAGAAAAGTAGTGGACATGTTTACTTGGGAAGACCAACCAAAGAAGCAGAGGGACATGTTTGAAACCATGCCGTGGACATGAAGGCTCTGTCAATTCTACTAGCAGATCTCATATCTGAAAAACAAAGAAACAAAGAAAGGGAATGAAAATGTTATACTTTTATTTTCTATGAGATACCAATCTAAAAGAAACAAAGAAAGAGAATGGAACAACCCATCTGAATCTGAAAAAGAAAAAAAAAGAAGAATGAGAATCATGATGCATGTTACAGTGACAATAAGCCTCCTATGGTGATTTTTGAGATATCCTTTTCATTCTCTTCCTATATACCATCAAAACTATATAGGTTATGTGCTTTTTTGTTAAATTTTGATTTCGAAAAGGTACTCACTGAAAAATATATGGGCCATGACAAGGGCAACTATGTAGTATATAGGTTTCTTGTGGGCAAATCTCTTCACTATCTCTATGCATCCCCTGCCTAAAGGTTTCATTTAGATTATAAGGCAATATAGCTAATCTCTGCTCCCACAGTAGCCTTCTCTCTTCGTTGAAACTCTTGTATCTCCTGAGAAGGAATGGAACAAGTACTTCTCTTCTCGAAGAAACTGAAACCAACCCATATAAGCCATGCTCTTTCATTCCCAACACATGCCCTTGAGGCTTTTCCAATTCCTGAAGGAGCCCATATGATGAATTTTGAAGCAGCCGATGCTACTGATAATGCATGGAGGTTTTGCTTGCTTGTCAACCCGTCTGAGAGCTTACCCAAAACCCGTTCTTCTACGCTCTTCTTGGCGTCGTTTTGTAGAGCAGAAAGGCCTTGCTCCCGAAGACAGGGTTCTCTTCTTCATGGAGAGAGATGAAGCTAATGACATGATCAGGAGGTACGCGGTTAGAGCTCAACGAAAAGTGATGGTCTTGATGGGGCAAGATGTTTGGGTCGATGTCGAACATCTTCCCCTATATGGGATTAATTAATGTTAGGAATTAATTACAATTTTAGACTTAAAAACAATCTGATTGAATAAATTTTTAAAATTATTAAAAAATAATATATGCAAGAAGTAAATTGATATTTTACTACTTATAAAGTTTTTAGATTTTCTTATAAATAGAAGAGAAAAAAAATAGAATGTTATACTTTTTATTTTCTGTAAGAAAAAAATAAAGTACATATAATACATAAATATCTAAAACATGAAATTGCATTAAGTTAGAAATAAATTTGAATGGATTAGGACCCTCAATTTGTGCTATCCATTTTCACCATGATAGGCCGGGGCGATGTATACTTGGGAAGACCAAACAAAGAAGCAGAGGGAAATGTTTGAAACCATGCCGTGGACATGAAGGCTCTGTCAATTCTACTAGCAGAACTCCCCCTTGACCAAGTAAACTTTTTCCCACACAGAGATAGTTCTAACAATTCACATGTTGCTAAACAATCTCGAAAGGCTTTCATGTAGCAGAAGCATTTCTTACATCCTTAGCGATCAAAGGGAAATGTTTCTCCTGCACTGCTGGCGTCATTGATTCCGGTGAGGCAGAGTTGCTGGCGAATGGCGATATACAAAGCCCAAGCTTAAGAATCCTGGAAACTTGAGACCTTTTATGTGCTTCAAATATTGTTAAGAAGACAGTTGAGGGAAACAATTTTTACACTCACTCACGCAGAGGGGCTAACCATGAAGTAGACCAACTAGCCAAAAATAGTGTTAATCTTACATTAGACTTCATTGCTTGGTTTTAATCTCTTTAATTTGTTGTTTCTTTGTTCGTTAATTCAAAAGGAAGCTACAGACAATACCCATCAAGTGAGTGGCTGAAACAGAGGAAAGAAATTTAAGGAAAAAACAGAAAACAGGTAATAGTAAAGCTAGCTATGAAATCAAGTTCTGCTTTGCTAATGACATGCCACAACTTCCCTCTCTCAAAACGTGAAGAAAGACCACTGTTCTCAGAGTTGCCATTAATGGAGATAGAATTAAATTAAGAGACGCAGCATCGTCCATGGCCTGGCTAGCTGCTAACCGAATCTGATTCCACAGCCCAATTAAGCCGACTTGCCAACGATGAGGGAACACTAATCTCTAATGCTTTCTTAATGGGGCAAACTTCAGTCTCATTTCAATCCACGTCCTCAACCACGCAAGAGAAAACGCACAAGAAACGACCCTATGGGTCTCTCAGAACGCCTCCTATTCCTGCACTTCCTGGTTTCCCTAAGAACCCTTAGCTTAGAAAAACAATAAATAAATATATAAAAAAAACATGTTTTTTTTTTAATGTACAGAACCTTAAATTTGCAGTTTAATTTTAAAAATAAATCTAATAATGCATGTTTCCTTAAAATATATACAAACCTTCAAATAAATTAGAAAACCATGTCCGAAAACAAATCAAAATACAAAAGCATAACGAAAATTAATATAAAATTCAAAATAAAACAATAAATAAATAAAAATTAACCCAACCAATATATTTTAAACCTAACATGCGGAGATTCAATGGTCTAATAGATAATAAAGTGGCTTTCAAATATCTAGTTATTGAAATTTAAGTTTAATCTCATGCTATCATCTTTTCAAGTCATTAACTTGGCCTTACATGACTAGATTATATAAAATGATTTAAATCCCAAATTTATTAGCCAGGAATAATTACATCTAATGATTGGTTAAACTCTTCTCTGTTTTTTTCTGAAATCCCATCTTCACCTATGCTGTGATGCGGAAAAACACTTTGATTGGTTTGTTTTTTTTTAAACTCTTTTTTTTTAATTTAATTTTTTTTATTTTTTTAATTTTAATTAATATTTTTTTATATTTTAATATGTTAATATTAAAAATAATTTTTAAAAATTAAAATAAATATAATTTTAATAAATTTATTTTTAAAAAACAACCATAATTACCGTTACTAAATATCTATTAATAATGAAACTTAGACGCGTAATATACATCCCATCTAGTCTCTCACAATCTGTCAAAGCTACAATTAATGCTGGAGTCGCTGAGTGTACATATTATTCGTGGGAGAAATTACTAGTAGTGACTTTAGAATACTCAAAGGAGATAAAATAAACGGTTTTATTACAAAATAAAAACTTATAATCTTAATATATATAATTTTTGTGTTTTTTTCTATTTTTTTTCATATTTAATAATACAAACTTAATAATTTATTTATACATAAATTGAGATGTAGCAAGTAGTAATGATTGATAGTAAATAATTGTGGCTGCAAATGATTGTGGTTAATGTTAGGTGACAATTACTAGTAATAATTGATAGTAAATAGTTATAGATAATGGTTGGTGATTAATTGAATTTATCACAAGTGCGGATATCATCGGTTGCGATTGATCAACTGAACTATAAGTCGACGGGACAGTGTAGACATCTCTTTTCTTTTTTTTTTTTATTTACGTGGGGTGTCCGGGCCAGCTTACGCGCACCACGACTAATCCCCACGACTCACTGAACACCCTGCAAACCCAGCAGGCAAGTAAGGCAGCGCGGGGCTGACAGACATGCAACTCCAAGGCTCGAACCCGTGGCAGCAGAAGGCGCAAGGCACCATTCCACCGCTGGGCCGTTGCCTTGGGTGCAAGTGTAGACATCTTTGATTTAAGGAAACCGGAGCTCATCTGGGACAGAATCTGCAATTAAATTAGCACTTCAAAATCAAACTAAGTTAAAGATTTCTTGAAAAGATCATATATATATATCTAAAGATTTCTTGAAAAGATCATATATATCCACTAGATACTACAGATGGAAAAGTTTGTGACGGGCCTCTGGTACAGTGAATGCAGTGCACAGTTTTTCCTCATTCTCCTTGTGGGTTACCATTAACGGAAGCTCCAACAGATCTAAATCACTTCAAACCCTAAACACTCCTTACGAGTTACCACTAACGGAAGCTCCAACCTATCTAAATCTTCTGCTTCCATGCTGACTAGTTATGGTGAAGATATTAAATTAAAATTATTGGGTAAAGTCTTCAAAAATCTTAATTTAAATTTATAAAAATTTTAGGTTTAGGTTAGCCGTTTAGAACATATTCCAAGTCGTTTCATGTCGGTTTAATGGAGTTTTCCAATTATGCATCTGATTAATTATTTTGAGTGGATGCTTCACATGAAATCCGTCAATGTCTAATTAATTTCAAACAAATATTAACAAAATCTCGCTGATGCTCACTGGGAGTAAGATTTAATTAATGGAAGAGCTTCACTCAGTTTTAACAAATTTGAGTATGGATAAAATAAAAAATCTAACTCGACAACTCATTGCCACCCCTAATAACTCGACTCAATTTGCCCACAAAATTGAGCTTATCGGAGATATTTTGTTGAAAAGTTAATCCATCAACTTGTTTCCAGCTCCAATTTTTGTTCCTATAGATAATCTCAACAACAAGCACATCCTCTATGTCAAGAACAAAAAAATAAAAAAAAATGTGTTTTTAAGCCAATAAGGTTTTTGAAAATGTAATAATAATAATAATAATTTTAAGTATTTAAGAATGTGATAATGATTGTCTTTTAATTTTTATTTAAAAATGTATTAAAATAATAATAATATTATTATTTTTTATATCAGCACTAAAAAATAATTAAAAAAATACCTTTTAAAGCATAAAAACAAAGATACTAATTAAAATAAAATAAATTGTGTTTCTAAATCAATTTATTTAAGAATATGATAATGATTATGATTATATTTTAAAGTATTTTTCACTTATAAATATATTAAAACACCAAAATAAAAATATAAATACTCCCTTGCATCTTATAACACGCGCGCGCACCGAAATTGATGTCTTCTCATGTTCGAAAACTGATCACTTTGCATTGAAGTAAATTATGTACCATTCATTGAACACATTGAGCGTTGAGAGACAAAAACAACAAGGAACAAAGAAACTAGGTGTTTCCACCTTGTACGGGTCCTTTGTACTTTGAGATTATGCTTTCACTTTCTGAAGCTGTTTCGCAAACATGCTGCTCCCTCTCATTTTCTCAGGCCCATCAAGACTGGAATTCCGTTGCTTCTAATCCATTGGCCGCCCTGAAGGAATGCACCAACAGTGAATTGAAGAGCTTCACTCCTCTTGAGGAAATGGAGAGTTTTCCACCTGACCCTCCTGTTAGTTGCCGCACCAGGGCCAGCGTTGGCATACTCGGCATAGTAGAGAGTGTCAAGAAATTGGTTTCCACTCCATGGCGCCCATCCATCTGGCTGAATGAAGTCTGCTAACTTTGACTCCATCACAACAGTCCTCGAGTATGCCTTCCATGGCCTGCCCAAGTATGTCTTGATCTTGAGCCTATCGGGGACAAGCTTCTGCTCAGGGACGATCCTGCAGTTATGAATGACAAGTCCTCCGGGTTGACCCCTCTCTTTCCTGCCATCTGCAGTCACCGTGTTGAATTGGTTTGGATTTGGCCTTCGGACAATGATCAAGGAGTTTTGAATCACCGCTGATCCATAACCAAATAGGAAATCTACGGTGCCTGAAAGGACACAATTGCGGTAGAACTGGCGCCCAGCTTGGTACAACACCGTGTCTTGATAGCCATCAAACCTGCAGTTGTAGAATGCTGACATATCAGAATTAGTTCGGATGGCAACAGCCTGGTGGCCATCAGGACCGGCGGTGTTGGTAAATCCGATGGACTTGGCGATGAATCCATTTGCCTCAACAACTGCAGTACCAACAATGACAACATATAATCAGGAATTAAAAAAAAAAAAACTATTCAAATTAGATAATATATGCCAATTAGACGACAAGAAACTTTTAACTAGTCCATGAGCTGGATGTTGCACTCACTAAATGTAGCAGTTTTCCAGGTGCCAAGGCCATCTTTTGCAAAATTCTTGTTTCCAGTGACAATGGTCTTCCTGGATCCATCACCATAGATGAACACGTTGGGTTGGTCCTTGGCTACAGCCACATACTCACGATAGGTTCCTGCCTTAACATAGATAACATATCGGCCCTTGAGGTTCTTAGGATATGCGGCAAGTGCTGCGTTGATGGTCTTGAATTGCCCACTACCATCCTGAGCCACAACTGCATTAGGTCTAACCCCACCATTTCCGCGTGAGGCCAAAAGCTTACGGTCAGAAGCAGACATCCAAGTGGGAAAACCATTAGCTTGAAGAAGTTGACGAGAGGTGCTGGGAACATTGAGCTTGAGTCCCAAGGAATTCAGAACTTGTGAAAGCCCGGCAAGGATATTCAAGACGTTGTCTGTAAGTTCGCTTCCGTAGTCCGTGCTTTTTTGCACTTGATCCCTCAAGGAGTTGCCATTCTCAAAACCATCTAAGCACATTTCTTGGTATCCAATAATTGAACTCAGCCATGTTCGAAAATCGTCTGTACGGTTTGATAGTGAAAGTAAATCAATTTCACCTACCTTTGACAATGTGTCCTCAACGCTTTCAGAAGCATTTTGCAATAACTCTTTGCAGTCAATCAAGGCCATTTTGTCACGGCTTGCGTTATCGGTCTTGGCTACGAGATCATCAGTCACGTTGAAAGAATTCTTCAATGAAGCAGAGATGGCTAATATGCCTCCTTTGATTAGTTCTTTGGGATCGGTAGAGTTCAGGGCACTGAGGGTGTTAGTGCAAGCCTCTTTGTAATAAGTAGGCTGGCATAGTGCGCTAACAGCCTTCATTTGAGGTGACAAGCTCTCTGCATCATTGGATCCATTGCTGCGATGAACAGTAACCACCACGCCAATGATCACCCCCACAACAAGGATCAGAGAAACCCCCGAAACAATTACTTTTCCAATCATTTTTATTTTAGTTTTGCTGATTAACTAATCAATTCTTACAAGGTTAGTTTTCAAACCTTTCCTCCAGGATTCTGTGCCAATGAAATGGAGCACAAAATCCAAAAAGAAAAAACTACAATGGAAGAGATATCCTCCCTTTGTCCTGCTTAAATACAGTGAATTATCTTGGTGGGGTTTCTGCAAGCTACGATTTTCCGTAAATTGTGGGCTTTTGCAAGACATGGACGTGAAATTATCGAATGGTAGACCATTTTTTCACTTAGCTTTATCATGGAAGATAAGGAAACATCGGCGAATGTAAAGGAAGAAGCTGTGTATTACACCATGCATGCTAAACTTAGGGCAAACTGCAAACCATTGAGATGAACAGGTCAGCTTCTTTTACTGTTTTTAGTATGCGTCTGACTTGACCAATTAATCAAGATAACTTTTCCAACCCCTTTCTATATCCTGCCTACAGTATCCATTACCAAGCATTTTCTATGCTATCTTTGGAAAAGTCAACTTTTCAACACCTTTTCGATGCAATTTCTTTATTCTTTATGTGAGATGCTTTTTATATTTTTATTTTGTCCATATATGCTGCAATGAACCTGTAGTTTAATTCCCCAATTGAGTGATTTAGGATTTGAATTTTTATAATAGAAAAGGGACAGAATTTGAATTTGAAAGAAAATTTATGGATTTTATTTTTGAACAAAGACAAATTGACAAAAATAAAGGTGTAATTGAATTTATTTTTTTCTGGACAGGGCATATTATATTAGAGGTAGTATAGCCTCCTGAGTCATGTGATTGTTCTAAAACATTTTCTACCTCATCTTCCCCACATCTTATTGAATTTATAATCATAAACACAATTAATTCAAATTCAAGTTGAAATTGAAATTTGAAAAGATCCTAGACTGTTATGTTTTGGGACTACTTTCATCATTTAAATGATGTGGTTTCACGCTTTAGATTGCTTTTTTTATTTGACTTGCCATTTCTTTTTTAAATATCTGTTTGTTTATGCAATTACTGCTAAAGTAAACCGCATATATCAAATATTTAGTAATGCATAACCTCAATTTATTATACACTATGAGACCCATTTAAATCTAAGTAAAACTGTAGGTTTGTGGAAAGTTGCTCTTAGCTGCTTTCAACCAACTTGTGGAACAACATAGTAGAGAGTTTCAATCTCTATTTATTATGGTCATTGTTCTGGTCGGACCGGGTCTGGTCCAAAACTAAATGCATTAAACTATGTCTGACCTAGTTAAAAAAAAATTAATTTAAAATTTTTAAAAACTTTTTATTGAAAAAATTAGAAGGAGATCACTTGATGACGTAGCATTTACAAAATTTGATCGCAATTCTAATTTTATTCTTGTCGAGGTCCGACCCAGTTAAAAAAATTCAATTTTTGTTTTTATTTTATGATATAATAGCAATAGTTAAATCTATAATATTGAAATTAAAAACTCTCTGTGTGTGTGTGTGTGTGTGTGTGTGTGTGTGTGTGTGTGTGTGTGTGTGTGTGTGTGTGTGTGTGTGTGTGTGTGTGTGTGTGTGTGTGTGATAGTTTTAACCAAATATATATAAATATCAAGCTAACCTCAACTAAAAGTACTTTTTGTAAAATAATTTTTTTCAAACCACAACCATAAAAGCTACCACAATACTAAACACATAGTGTTGTTGTCATTTCATTATTTTATTAAATGATATCATTGCTTGGATTGTTAGTGCTTAAAATATTATATTTTTCCTTAGTGGAATCTATATGTCCTTCATGCAGTCATTTCTTATAATTCACTCGTCCATTTGTTGTTTGTATTCCCAAGTAATATCTCAACCCTTCATGTTTGCCCTTATCTCTTCCTCTTTTTTGGTCATTTTTAACCTTTTTTTTATACAAAAATTAGAAAAATTAAATCAACGAATTAGTGTTTTATCCTTCCTTAGCCTCCTAGTCTCTAGACTAGTGATAACTCCCCCATCGTCAGAAAATCTTGCCTTTAAGGTGAGGGAAAAATTCTATAGGTCATTTTTCTTTTGCTTAAACAATATCATCTATATTTTATCTATTCTAACAACCAAGAGTTCCTATTCCTTTTTTATCTACTTTTTATTTTATCTAGTCTTTATTTCACTTTTATCTAGTCTTTGCTTCCCTTGTGTCAAGTACTTTAATAGGTTCATGTTTAGGCTTTCTTTCCTAACCATAAGGGGTAATTTGAGTTTATGTTGTTTGTTTGAGCCAATCCTTCTTTTGAGCAACAATATAAGGAATGTTGGGTGAATTTGAGACCTTTCTAAGAATCCCAAATAATAAGTAAATTTATCTATTCTTGATTTAATTTTCAATGGCCCATGGTTTTTATAGGTTAACTTTTAATTTTTTATTTGATGTACACTCCTATATCGAAATGGTTGGAGCTTAATGATTAGTACTTAAAAGTGCATTTTTATCATGGTTTTATATCATCATTTTGCACTTTAAAAGTACATTATGAAATATCATTTTATAAGATACCTTTAATTTGTGGTAAATGTTCATTTTAAATGCAGGCTTATCACATAAATGAAAGGATTGATTAATGACTTTAAGAACTTAAATTGCAAGGATAAAGAGATAGCCAAACTTAGAAAAGAGATGTCGGTGCAATCCAAACCGGAACACTGTTCGGTAATTGGGTCATATCTGGAGCTATATATCTCAGATTTAGTTCCAATTTATATGGATGGAAAGGTAAGACATAGGCCTACAACTTTTATATGGAGCCCAAAATCTAAAAAGGCCATTATCAAGTCCAAATTGTAGCAATAACAAAGAAGCCCGAATCTGTCTTCCATCCCGAGCACTGTTCGGTATTTTAGCCATATCTGGAGTTCTAGAAGTCCAATTGAGCTGAAGCTTTTACACAAGAAACCTGAGACAATACTTATTTGACATACCATTAGTGGATCTTCTAACCTTGACATTTATTGTTATCGTTGTTAAATCTTTACGTTAATATTCCATTTCAAAGTTCTCATCTTCTTCTTCTTCTTCTTCTTCTTCTTTTTCTTTAGGATTATTATTATTATTATTATTATTATTATTATTATTATTATTATTACTATTACTATTATTATTAGTAGTAGTATTAGTACTACTACTACTACTACTACTATTATTATTATTATTATTATTGTTGTTGTTGTTGTTGTTGTTGTTACTATTATTGTTGTTGTTGTTATTATTGTTGTTGTTGTATTATTGTTATTTATAATTTGTACAAATAACCTCCATGTGGTTTGACCCCGGTCTTGCCGGGTTATTTATTACTTCGACACTCCTGCACTTGGAAGAAGACATCAATCTTTTAGTCGTGTCACTTAAGGTATATATACTCTTTTTCTTGAAACTTAAATATTTCTTTTTTTTTTTATTAGCTTGAGCCTTTTGCCTATTTTATGCTTTGCATAAATTAAACTTAATGTTTTGTAATATTTTTGTGTGTTCTTAAAGACGTGAATCTACTACTTCTATTTATGTTGTGCCAGGTACATAACAAATTTGAAATAATATAAATATCTTTTTAGGTTCTTGTTAGTGACTTTAGTTTGTTAGTTTATTTGAGGGAGATAGGCTAACGATAGGTGTAATTAGATCCCTTATACCTTATAAAACTCCCCCCAATATAGGGTCTAATAATGATTTTTTTTATAAACTATATAGTTTCATGATATTTTAGAAAAATACTTAAGCTATTTAGAGATTATGTAGAGATGTGAGAGGGTAAGAAATGAGCATATTTAGAGAGTTTGTTAACCACTAATAAGATTACAAAATACTTGTTGGATAATTATAAGTCTTCAATGAAGTCCATGGATATAGATATCCAAAGTTTTTTAGGAATAAAGAAGGTTTATAGTAAACCTATGAGTCTAGTATTTTCTACCCTTTTTCTTTGATAGACGTCACACTACATCATATAATTTTTTATATTAGTCTTCATATCTACCAAAAAATATTATTTTTTGCTCTCTTAAGGGTTCTTTCATAACTACATGGCTAGCTATAAGGTTATTGTGTGTGGATTGCATGATAAATCTTTTAAAGGGACATTCTTTACTTATATAAATTCTTCTTTTATAAAGCAACACTCCCCTTTTTAATTGATACATATAAGTTATAATCATTTATGTAAATTTATTAAAAAAGTTCTAGATCTATAAATCTTTTTCATAACTTTTTTTAAGTTCTTCCTAAGTTCTTAACTTTTCATAACTATAGCTAGAAATTTCTTTTCATATATGGATAAGGTCAACTCCTTACCTTTCAACCCTTTGTCCAAATAAGATATAAGCCTCTACATTAAAACTACACTTATTCCATCTTTTAAGGCATCACTTTTAATGAAAAAAGGTTGTGAGAAATTTGGTAAGACCAACATTATAGGATTTGAAATAGTTCCCTTGAGTATTTTAAAAGCCTCTTTAATTTCACTAGTCCACTATATATATATATATATATATATATATAAGCAATTTAGTCAATAGGCTAGCTAGGGTCCAATACCTCCTAAAGAACCTCTTCCTATAATATCCTTGTTAGCCTTAACTCCCCTTAAAGACTTTAAATTAATGGGTTTGTGTTAAATGATCATAGCTTCTACTTTGTTGGCATCTGTCTTAACTCCCTCTTTAGTGACTATATATCTAAGACACTCAATTTCCTCATATAAAAACTTACACTTAGATAATTTAGCATATAATTTTTAGACTAGCTAAAGTTTGCATATTACCTTTAAATGATTCAAATGTATACTAAAATATCATATAAAAAAACCAATATAAACATTTTAATATAAATTCAAAATATCTCATTCATCAAACTCTGAAAAAGTTTTTATGTCTCTTGAAGTATATAGGCTTGATTAATTTCTTTTCATAAGTTTGTTCTTTATCAATTGCCTTCTTAATGATGCACTCGTTTATGAATAAGGTTCTTCTGTCCACTTTTGTTA